ACCCATTTCTGTTAGTGAATCATAACCCAAAGTCTGATTGTCTAGCTCCACCCCTATTACCAGGGACGGAGAAAAGGAGCAAGTCTGGGTAGGCACAATTTGTTTTTAAAGGAATTTTTTTTCTAATGAAAATTCATTTTTTCTTAATAATTTATTATTTTTTTCAACGTATCAGTATAAAATTTTTATTTTGTCCACCGGCTTCGCCTCTGCATATGACCAAGGCCTTTAGAGCAACTCCTAAACATTCAGTGGATCGTTATTCAGGCGATACTTGAGAGACTTCCCCCTACTTCGTATTAATGTTTAACACAAATCGACATTCAAATTCAAAATTATAGGAAATATAAAATTAAAAATTAAATATTTATTTGGTTAAATCACTACGTCTAAGAGAACTTCTGAATCTAGATGAAACTCTAAACATTGTCTATTTCCATTCCGTCATGTAAGTTTTACAAAGCCCCTGTCAACTTGTGAAACACCGTCTATGTTTAGTTACGATACGACAGATAGTTGCATCGAAGATGCTCTTAAACATTGAAAAGAGTCACTAATACTCGTAATCGAAGCATCACCGAAGTCAACTAGTTGAGATCAAAAGCAGAAGCCAAGTTGACATGACACTCAACTTGGCTTAGAGCACAATTTTTCAATGTCGATCTACCATTTTGAAACTGATTTCTATCTTACAAGAGGCTAATGAAAATCTAAAGGCAACATTCAGAATCAAGAACACACACTCAGCAATAAATTCAACTTTGGTCCCGGAACCACTTGAATTTCAGAAATGGATATTGCACTAGAATAATGATGACAGATATCTCGAAATAGAATGTCAGCTCATTACTGATGAACTCCAATTATGCTTGTGTCGTGCCACAAAATTGAAGGGCACCATATACAAAAAACCAAAAATTCTACTTACATGAAATTTGAAATCAGTAAAGACCCAAGAACTTCCACCAAAATGTCCCAACAACTCCCCAGATTACAGCATTAATGACGGCCATTATGAGTCCAAATTTGAAGATATCCGGGAGATCGACATAACCAGCTGTTGCCACAAGGAACAACGTGAGGCAATCGAATACTTCAAGATAATAACAAAAATCAAAAGAACATATTTTCAGGATATAACAAATTAATGAAATGAGTATCAAATCTGTTTGCTTTATAAACAACAGAATGTTTTGCCCTCGTCCATGAGCAAATAATAGAATAGAGAAAGGTTTTTAGCATTAAACGAAGTTTCACTTTAATTACTCAAAATTCTTTTTTCATCTAGAAAGTTGGAAAATCCATTAATTTTACTAACAGAAGCTGACATGGTGATCTAGCTCATACAGGGAGGAAAATTGAGTGACTAAGTTGGGAAAAAAGTTTGGTGACTAGGTGAAATATTCCAAGAGTTGGTTAACAGAGTTATTAACCCAATAGAGACGCAATAAGAAACAAAGACTTTTGCACAAGAACACAGTACAAGAGAGAGGGACAATAAATATGTTATGGAAGCAGAAGAAGAAGATGAAAGGCAACAGAAGTGGGACCAAAAAATTGTCGTACCTCCAAAGTATACAGCGGCTTGACCACTGCTGTAATGTGTCAAAGCACCAAATAGGTTGGTATTATAAGCAAGAGCCAATGCTGCCAATACACCGGGAACTCCAGATACCAAGTGCATTGCAAGAAAAGCAGAGTACAATGCTCCCACATGGCCCGTTTGACTTGCAAACAAGTAGTGGATTAAGAAGTAAGCAGCCTGAAGAACAACAAATGCAGCAGGCCAGCTCAATGATAACGACTGAAGGGATTTGGCTACGCAACCGGACATCCAGCTTACAATGCCAAGATTTGTCAACTGCCCTGCCATGCCCACTAGAACTGCAAACCAAGCCAGAGTATCCCATGCCGATTTCTCACTTAAACAGTCGTCCCAATCAAGCACTCCCAACAGCAATAGAATTGACAAGCCGAGCATGGCAGCAACAACACTTGCAATACCAATAGCCTCTCTGTTTACACAATATCAACGTATTACTTGAAAGTTACAGGGAAAGTCACAGGGAAACCGATGGAGTAAACATGAAACGTTAGCTAATACATGAAAAATACTAGTGTCTAAGAGATGTGTGCATGCTATTTCTACAATGTTAACCATTTTAAAGCAGTAAACACTATATCATATGCATATAAACATGTGTACATAAATATCTACTACACAAGACAAGAACTGAACAAGGTCATTAACTACAAAAGTAGCTATGATAGTTGTACAGCTCTAGTCTTATCTTACTAAGTCACCTCATACACCGAATGTAATTGAATCAACAAATGTTCATCAGTGCCTATTGTGAAAAACTGAAATAATAAAAATCACCAGCAATTCATTCTAACTTGATAGAAGCAAGAATTGAAGCATAAAAGGGTACTCACCCAAAAACCCACAAAGAAACTGCAAGAAGCATTGTACCAATCATCACCCATTCATTTCTTGTGACGGGGCCCATAAGGTCAAGTTTCTTCGCAGCCATAGCAGGGGCCTCTGGTGTATCTCTAGTTTCAGGGGGATAAAGCTTGTATAAAATGAACGGAGTAGCTAAAAGACTAGCCAAAGCAGGCAAACTAGCAGCCTTAAACCAAGAAACCCATGGGCTCGTAATTACTACCCCAAGTTCCTCAGCCAGCTTGAGGCACAGCAGGTTTTGAGCTGCAGCAGTTAGGAAAAGAGCACTAGAGTTACCAGAGGACTGTCAAAACGTCAAAAGAGCACCACATGAGTGAAAGAAGCACAAGATATATTGGGAAGTAATATTAATGATGCATCCACCCACGATACACAGAAATCAATTTCAAATATACTAATTAATTACAGTCGAATTAAACAATTTTTACTGCATCTTCATTGAGCTCATTAGAACATATCTAATTAGAAGTCAACGGAAAAATTCAACTCAATAAACTGTGGTCACGAAGCCAAGAAAGTTTCAGCAAGGCTTAAACGGTTATAAACGGGGCATATCCGAAAAAATACCCAATTCAACTTGCAGCTGCATTTGCAAATACAAGGATAAATTGATTTCCATTGACAATTATTTAAAGCTGAAGCTCTTTCAAGTACCTTTCCATAAGTTTTGAAGTTAATCCATCCCCAGGTATCATTGCTCAGGACCAATTCAATTATCACTATTATTCTCGTCAAAAACAATCTTCATGTTGTTATTAAAAGAATAAAGCTGTTTGTACAGGGGAAAATACAAGGGAAATTGCCAGGCTGATGTGGCAGATTTGGATTGGCTGTTTTAAATCCTTTTGTGTAAAGTCCAATGAAAATCTGCCACTTGGCATTCTGGCAATTTCCCCTGTACTGTAGCATCTTTCGTTATTAAAATTACTTCTGATGAAGCTGACAGATAAGTATTGAAACAATTTATGTGCAATTAAAAGAAAAGGCTTCTCAAACCATAGAATAGGCAGGAAAGTGACAATAATGTCAGAACTGCACAGCTATTTACGATTATTGTAATAGTGCAATCTACTTCCAAATTGTATCTTAATTCTGCAAACTAGGTAGTCGATGTAAATATTCGCAAATCCAAGTAATAAGGATAACATAAACAAAAATGACTCAAAATTTAAGAACCAACCTGAAATTGAGACTGTACTAAATAAGATCCAAGCTTTTTCTTTGATGGTTCCCCGGGTTTACTCCCCGCAGAGAGCGACAATGACTTAATAATTGGCAAGAAAACCCCTCCGGCCCTGGCAGTAGTGCTTGGCATTGCCGGTGCAATCAACGCCTCACTCAAAGTCAGTCCGTAGGACAATCCCAGCGTACTCTTTCCCAACCATTTTACAAAATACGTTGCTATCCGATCGCCAAGGCCGGTTTTCACGAACCCACGGGCGAAGAAGAATGAGATTACAATCAGCCAGATCACCTCATTGGTGAAGGCGCCGAAGGCGGTAGAAAAAGTCAGGGTTTTGGTTAGAACTGAAGTGGTGAGGCCCAGAAAAGCCCATGCGCCGACGGGGAGCGGGCTAAGAACAAGGCCGGCGATGGTGGAGGCGAAAATGGAGAGCAATTGCCAGGCTTGTGGGGTGACTTCAGGGGGTCTGGGGACGACGAAGCGAACTATGAGACCTATGGAAAGAGAGACGATTAATGGAATAACTTTTGCGCCTTCTGGTGGAGGATTTAGGGACTTTGAATCGGTGGGTACTGGTGCATTTTCGGCTGATGAGGAGCTGTGGGGAATGAATTTAAGGGTACTTTGAAGGGAGAACTTTATGGGATTAAAGAGCGTGAATTTGTGGGCACTTGAAAGTGGAGTAGGGTGGTTCTTGAGGAAGGAGATAGGGCGGAGATGTGTAACGGAAGGACGATGGCAGAGGTGGGGGAACAAGCGGCGGGAGAAGGCAGCGGTTGTGGATGGAGAATACAGTGCTATACTCTCCATAATTGAACTCAAGATAGAATTCAGATAATTGAACTGTCTTTACGAGCATACAAGAGAGGTTTGTCTCTTTGGAGTCTGGACTCTGGAGAGGGCGGAAATTACGACGACCACAGAATCTGTAAATTGCACACCTTGTCTCCAATCTATGGAGTCTGTATCAAAATCATCCCTAACCTTTTCTTTTTCACTTATTTACCATTTCCTTCGCAAGTTCAATCCTAGACTAGACGTCAATAAAATCATTTGAAGACTGCATGCATCGTCCAATAATAAAGGTTGGGGACCATAGTGCAATTTACCCATTTTGATATGAGATGGCATGGAGGGGAATAAATTATTTGGCAGTGCTTTGCCCTTTTGAAACAATTTAATACTATTTTATTACCTCTATTCGAATTTATATATATGAGATGGCATGGAGGGGAATAAATTATTTGGCTGTGCTTTTCCCTCTTGAAACAATTTAATACTATTTTATTACTTCCATTCGAATATATATATATATAATTTGCACTGCACATGCAAACCTAGGAATTTACAAACCTTAAAAGATAGATTTTGTATTGTACAATCATTACAGTAACTACATTGTGACTTCAATTGAACCAAAATTATAAACTTTGTACTATGTATTTGTGGTGTATTCTTCTATGTATCACTATGATCCAGCAGCAAAAATTAAGATCCATGTCTCTACAGAAGGCCTATTTCTAGTGCACATATCATCTGCTTCACCCCGGCCGCTTCCTGTCCATTTCATAATCATCGAGATCATCATGGTTGTCATGAATCATATGGTCTGCAATTGGCCGTTTAATCCTTGAGAAAATATCATCAAGGGATTCAGAAGAAAGACGCGAGTATTCATCTTGAACCTGATGTAAAGGAATGAATCTCTTCGCGTCAATATTAGACTTGAAATTACGTAACTCCATCTTCATCGATTCCCAAGTGGAGTCCATTCCAGAAGATGATTTCGCAAGCATATTCCTCTCTTTTGTATTCAATTTCATTTCTTGTCCATCTGATTGTGATCTTGTGGCGGCATACTTCTTGCTGATGCCCACTTGACTCGTGTCATTCTGCACCTCGGATTTCAGAGGCTTCGAGTGAGTATTCAAATCATCCTCCCTTGTAAATGTAGGTGCTTTTGCTTTCTGCAGAAACTTGATCAGATACCAATCAAAGGTTAGATGCAGCGGCAGATATAATGATAAAATGAAAATGCCATGTAATTCCAAGACAAAGAGTTCATATGGTTCAAGCATGTAGGCTAACACCCATTTTTAACATTAATATTCTCAAACCCCGAAAGCATAAATGTGTGGCTCGGCAATATGATTCTCTGAACAGCCAGTTAAAGATGCGGTCACAGTTTATAAGAATTATCTTATATAAAGCAAACGACAAACATATCATCACTTTACTCCATACATCACATCCAACAAAATGAAATATGAGGAATGCAAATGGAACAAAAATCACCACCACCGGAAACAAAAAATAAGGGCGCGTGGAGGACATCGAACATGTCAAACATAAGTACAACATAAAGACAGATAGATAGTCACGTCTATAATTCTTAGAATTAAAATTGATATTTGTAAATTTAACCAATATTTCCAAATAATTTTAGGCATTTCACGTACCCTGGTACTGCTTCCAGATTCAAGATTTATGCTTGCATTGTTAAAATTTCTTGCTAATGGAACAACGAGTTCACCAACTTTATATCCTTGCTCAAAGCCAAGACCGCTCTGAGAACATAAATCACAAACGAAACAATTTCAACATGCTATTTTTCACCCAAAATATGGAAGCTACAAATTAAGCAAGTGGAAAAAGAAAGATGCAAATACGCTCACCTTTCTGCAAGATAATCAATCCTGATGCATCAAAACCATCTAAATCATCTGCTTCTTCACTGTGAAATCTGAATATTTTCCAGTTTCCAAAGTAATCAAGGACGTGGTCAAAGAAATTGCTTGCTATCAGTATGGTATATATGACCATAATAAGTGGATAGATTTTATTGAATCCTTTTCCAAAGAAAGGCACAGCGTCATCAATATTCCCCATTCTCTGCAAATGTGGAAGCATAAAATTTGTAACGTGCAAAAAGGATCCGAAAGAAAGGGGAAAGAGACTAGGCAAATTTAAACCACAGCCAATTGCCTAATAAACAGAATTAGCATATAATGCAAGCAACGTGAGAAGAAGAAAAAAGGCAAAAATACTGTTAGTAACAATTTAGATATCAAAGAAACCAGTAGTAGTCCTGTATTTCGTGGGTTTATCCATCAATTTGCTATCTGCACAAGTCTGAGTGAAAAGCCCTAACTATTTATATTAAAAAAGATGATGTTCTATTCATTACTGATTGAAAAGCAGAAATTTCCAGTTGCTGCTGAACTAATGATTAATCGACCACCCGCAGCAACAAACACCCCCCCACCCCCCAAGGAAAACCACTTCCTCACAAAGTCCAAATATGTGTGTGAATAATTTGAGTCACTGTGTATTTCAGAGATGGGACATGGTGTAAATAACGTATCTAATAAAAATAATTGTCTGTATTGACAGTTGTCTGCCATGAAGGGAGCTCACAAGTAAAAGGAGAGGAGAAATCCACTTACCTTTTCAAAAATAGTTTTCGCATCCTTGTCAAGATGAATGAGGTTGAGAAAATTGTATGAGATGGGAGGAGCATAACGTGCAACCATTCTTAGAAAAATCAAAATGAAAATATATCAAAAATTAACAAATGAAAAATCCATATTTTGTGTAATTGAACAGGTTAAAGGATGCAAAAATAAGTAGAAAGAAAATACACATACGAGCAAATCATAAGCAAACTGACTGAACTTGTTTGTCTTGGAGTAAAATAGTAAAATGTCAGCATTCCAATCTTGAACAAGGAATAGTATGTACAGACACACATATACACAAGAGGAATAAAAGCAGCGACCTGTTTAGAAAAATGGAAATAACAAAATTAGAAGAACAGAAGAACCAGATCACCATTGGGAATTATGAGAGTTGCTTCATGGAGTACTATTCATTTAATTAGGGGCCAAAACGAACGCTTTCCAAAGAAATGGGTAAAATATAAAAATGACAAATAAAAATGAATACTTTACCTGCACAAGCATCTCATTCTTTTTTACGGCGTTTATAAGAATTGAGACGAGAGACAAATCAACTCCACTAGGAAGAATTGTTGCTTCTGCTAGGAGAATAGCAGCTGACATGCAGCCCAATACAATAGCCAAGAGCTTCTCAAGTTGTTTTCTCAGTATACATCGCCATACCAATTCTAGAAAAAGCGTCAATGTTGATACAAATTAGGAGGAGATAATCCTATATGTTGATCAAGAATGATATAATTAACTGTGTCAAATTCAAGATATTTTATAATAAAACATGCAGTAAAAATAATAAGATTGGAAGATCTATAGGGCGAGAAATCTCCTTAAACTAATACCAGGAACATTTACTAAATAGCATTAGATGCCTTAGAGATTTCTAAGTTCCTCACCAAAATGACATTGTAAACCCCTCCATTACTCTCTTCAACTGACAAACTCAAACTGAAAGTTAAATTATTAATGAGTAGTTCAAGTCCCAGGGGATAGACATTCAATCGACAGAAAGAATGCACAGAGTGTTTAAAAAAACAAAAATCTGAATTATTACCAAGGACATCAAGAGAAGTCCCTACTTTGCCTTTACGTTCAGGTCTGAAGCTTGAACTGTATTTCCTGCAAAATCAGTGGAAATGATGAGAATCCAGAGTCAACAAAAACTCTATGATAGAATGTCTTAAGACAAAACTAATATGCTACACTGATATGGAATTGGAAGCTGGAGCGGTAGTATCTGATTAAAATCTTAATTAATAGCCATTTCGTTATTTTTTCCTCATTTCCCAGAATCGTCGTTTAATATCCAAAGGTAAAAGCAGCAGTCTAGGTAATGTATTTGGATTCAACCTGATGCCTCATGAGTAAGAAGATTTCTTGAATGGTTGCCTCTCTTAGGCGGATTGTCGAAATGTATTGCTAATCAAGAGGCACTTCTTGGCTGTCTACAAATGCAAGGTCACAAAACAAAATTCTTATTTTTCCAAGGATTCTCTAAGATTTGTCCAACAAACAAATTAAATATATACATGCATAAATGTCAAGGTAACCACAATGAATAATGGTGACCACCATGCAATCCATTACGTAATAGAATGAAGTTGGATGATGCTTACTCAAGAAAAATATGCAAGATTATATATAGGAGTTCAATAAAATGTAAAGAATGAGATGAGACAATAATGGAGAAGTAGAAGCATATACCATCCAGTCGCACTGCAGTGCTCATAATTCTTCATAGTGTCTTCTAGTTCTAGGGCTTCTGTGACAAAATTCATATACTCGCTGCATATAGAATGAAAATGTAAATTAAATGGACCGCAATTGGATCAGACCAAGAAATGAAAATCAAAGTGAGGTTACTCCAAAAATAGATTCATAGTACGCAGAATAAACGAGTTAGAAAACAATGAATATATATAAAGTCAAGATCATGTATTTTGAATTGCTATTACCTTTTATAGCGGTAGTACCCTTCTCGAGCTCTCTTAAGTTGACGTCTAAGAGTAGCCATTGATTTTTCATCAGTGTCATAATCCATATCACTTTCCCCTAATTTACCACCTTGTGGTTTAAAAGAGGGATCTTCACTCAGCTTAAATTTCACACAAAAATTTTCATCTCAGAGGTGTCGGAAAAAAAATATTAGAAAGTGAGTACCAGCAAAAACTGCTAATAAAGTATAACTACCATCCGAACCAACATTTTATCAACTATATTCATGAAGGGCCTCAGAGGATCACGCTTCGACATTTGCTTTGATGTAGCTTGAGCAACCTAATTCAATAATCATAAGGTTACAAACAGAGTAATAGAAAGACACTTCTTTACCCAATATTCCTAAAGGACAAGAAGCACATTGGCGAGAAGGGACTTCAGGTGAAATTTGCCCCGAACATATATAAGTAACCCATATTAAAAGTGGTCATGCAAGACAGTCCATTTTCCAGTGCAGTCAAGGAAGACATCCATTTCAGTAAGACGCCGTGCTTTACTCAATTTATCTTCCTCTTTCATTAACATGAAAACCTCAGATATCAATTGCTGAAATGAGCATACTTGGGTAGAAAAGTTGCAAAACGAAGCAGGAGTAGCTGAAGATACTTCTATATCAAGGTTCTTAAGAATAAAAGAATATTAAAGGCAAACCATGAAAATCTTACAACTATAGCATTTGAGAATTCTTGATGAGCATCATCAAGTTTTACAGCCATTTTAGCCACTTTATGAGAAAGGACTTTCTGGCAGGTTATCCAATCTGCATTTCTCCAGATACCTTTTGGAATTTCACTCAAACCGAAACCCAGAAGAATAGCACCAGTTACAAGACCAAACGTATTTGAGCATGCCATAGCAAAACCGAGAATACTACCACTCCTGCATATGAACAGGTAAAATTTAATATTTTGATATAATGTGAAAGGGGGAGGGGGTGATAAAAACAAAAAAGATGAAATGGATATTGGCCATCCAATAAAGCTGTGAAGTGATTATAAGTAACATGGGTACACTAAGACTATGCTCTAATATTTCCATGCAGTATATAAACATACTTACCTGCAATTACAAGGATTCACATGCAAGGGTAGATTTGGGGATATATAACAATGATTACAAGCTTTGTATCTTTGTCAGACTATGGTTTCTAGTTTTTACCAGCATAAAACAAACAATGTACATAAGGCAATCTACAAATTCATGTTTGCCTAGACTTACTTTTCCTTTCAATCAGTGATTACAGTATCTCTTTACATCATAATCTTGAAAAAATTCAAAATTCTTAAGCTACATGAAAGAGATAATAAGGCTATGTTTGAGCCACATTTTTTCAAAAAAATGCATTCTTAAACAGTGATTTGACATCATTTCAACCACACATTCTTCAATAAAATAATATTACACGCAAATCCAAAACTTTTCTTTATTTTTTAACCCCACATTTCCCACCAATTAGAAAGTGCTTCTAAATGTTTTATGGGACTTAATGCTGTTTAGCTACTACAACTTGCATAAAATTATGAAGATGCCACCCCTAATGGAATCAATGATGAACTTTTACGTAGGTTTAGAATACTAAAGTAGCTGAGTCTGACACTTTAAAATCTTAAGAATGACCAAAATGGACACCTGGGTTTGGAGGAGATAATAAAATTTACATCAGAGAGCAAAATGTTTAGGTGAGAAAGAAACAAACCAGTTCTTGCGCAGAAAGATGAGTAGAACAAGTCCACAGAGTGCAATAGAACCAACACAAAAGTAGTAGATTAGGTTTACATGAGCGCTAGTCTTCAATCTTTCAGTAACAGTGAAGTCCCCAGCATCTTCATAACCCTGAAGTATAGGCACCACACCCCTGCTTAGAGAAATAGTATATGAGCATACGTGGTTATTTAATCCAAGCAGTTACAAGATTAACTCAAAGTCTCAAACACCTGGGTTCCAAAGTCTACTAAACCAACATCCAGAACCATATAAAATCTCAAAAATATAAGTTATTGCATCAGGTTTTTTGGTTACTAATCGCCCAATTCAGCATCAAACCCATAAAGATTTTGTGAAATATTAATTTATCATATATTTATTTTTCAGCTCTAATTATAAATGATAGATTTGATAAAGCCACAAAGAATAGAATGACAACCAAAAAAAACATGCTAAAGCTATTATTTTGCTCAAGTATTTAAGAGAGATCGTAACAAGAATGATCACAAAACGATGTCTAATGACTACTGTGAAGATTACAAACTTAAAAGAGCCATATTTAATCTGTAAAGACGCCTTGTGTACGTTGTTAAACCACAGATCAAAAAATGTAGAGGTAATAACACATCAAGAAAATTTGGTGCATGCTAACTGCTATGCAAGACATATTGGAAAAATTACACCTGCAAAAGTACCAAAAGAATTGACAGCATACCAAGTAAGTAAAAATGTACTCCAATATGACCAGCTCCAGAAGAAAGAGATTCCTCCCTTGTCATGATTAACAATTGTCTGTGTGAAGTACCAAAGGTTTCAACAAAGTTCATTATATCAAAACAAATAATGATGGATGTAGTAATATTTCTCACAAGTTGAATTTTTATAATTAAAGAATTATATGAGCCCTGTTTATATCGAGTTAATGAGCCAAACGGTAACTCACATTACAGAGCATAAAGGAGTCATAAATTAAGAGAATGTCATAGCAATATATATTATAAGTCTACTTGAGAAATTGGTCTGGATTCTATTTTTAAAGTATTGGGAACTGTGGATGATTGGGAACTGTGGATAGAGTCATAAATTATTATTCATGGCAAAGATAGTCCTGTAATTAAATAGACAAACCATTCTTGAATTCAGTCTACATGCCAAAGATTTCTAAATATTTTTGGATTATCACAATATCCATTATTCAAGGTTTTGAAAATTTTAATTCATTAATTAAATAGTACATTCTAGTAGCTACAACTCTTCAAGGTTCTCGAGTTTCACAATTTTGAAATGTCAATCATAGAATCCTTCCATTAATTTACCAAAATATTACTCATTATATGGACTAATATAAAAATGAATGTTAGGAAAAATAACTTCATACAGCTTTGTATAAAAGAAATTATGCATTAACATGTATGTTTGCAATTTCCACAGTAAAACCAGTTCTGTCTTCGATCACCAGAAATGTACACAAGGATCAAATCTTATATAATAGTTCTCGTCAGTGGTAAATTGGTTAGACTAATTTAGCTTACACAAGACTAAGTTATGCTTAAATGTACCTTATTTTCATCCACAAAGGCCTATCGTACCCAAATGATCAAATGTCAATGGATTATCTATATGTGCCTTACAATTTAATCTAAGGGCAACCATTCAGCTTTGTTTAACAAAATAAGAATCCGAAAGCTAAACCGTATTGTCTTCAAACACACAGCACGGTAATCCATCAAACTTGTACACAAAACAAGAGTTGTTCATAAAGAAATTATCTTTTCTTCAAAAGTAATGATTTTCAACAGCCAAAGAACATATCAATCCACAATACTATTCCTATTACAAAACAACTGAAAGTGAAGATCAGCAGGCGTATTCGGGGCAAATCATAATCCAGAACACCACAAACAAATGCACCATAAAAACACAAGTGAACAAAAAACAGATCCTACAAAGACTACAAAGTATCAAATAAAAGAAAACCATAATAACATAATTAAACAACGTACGGTCCATATGTCGGCGGGTACGAGGATGATTATAGAAACGGAGCAAAACCAGGTGTAACCGACAGTAAAGCGGACATAGCGAGCTACGTCGGGTCCAGCGAAGTACCATAGCGTTATACCCACCATCCCCATAGTTAGTGGCAGCGATATCAAATAAAAAACCCACATTTTGATTCTGATTTTTCCTCTTCTCTCCTTCCAATCCTCCAAGAAAGTGTAGGAAAAAAAGGGAAATTTTTGCACGAAATTCTTATTGTTGGCGTTAAAGATTCTTGGTTTACGTGATAGGAAAGGCCAATAAAGAAATGAAAAGTACTACACCCACCAGCCACCTCGTGTTATTTAGGTGATTTATAATATTCATAACCACGATTTAAGCCATTACCATTTCTTCTTCTTCTTTTTATGGTTTCAAGAGAAGCTGAGATGGAACATTTTCCCGGGGGATTTTTGGGGGTACTTTTAAAAATAACCTAGTCAAATCATCAAAATTCCATATTAACTTTTCAAAACTTAAATATTATCACTTTGGCCTATTGAACATTGAAAAATAAAAATACCCTTAATTATATTATACAATTACCAAATCTTATTTGGTTTAAAAGACATTATTACCCTTTTAGTTAATAATTGAAAATCAAATACTTTCCACTTAAAATTTAAAAATTAGCTTTTAACACAGATAAAAATTCTCATTTTTCATCTGCTTCAACCTCAAAATCTAAAAAAAAATTCCAACACTGAAAACGAATTTTTTTTATATCAATCACTTCAGATCAATAAGTATATTTACGCATGTTTAATTTCGTTTCGGTAAATTAGTGTACGTTTTAATCGATAAATTTTATTTTGATATAGTATTTAACGCAGATAATTTTTTTATTAGATCTATAATTTTTTTAGAAGCATAGAACAAAAAAAATCATCTTTATTTTTATCAAACGGACGTTTAAACAGCCGGCCGACGTTTTAAGCAGCCGGCCGACTGTTAAACAGTCTTAACAGTCGACTGTTTAACAGCCGACTGTTAAACAGTCGACTGTTTAACAGTCGGCTGTTAAAAGCCAACTGTTTTTAGGCTGTTTCAACTGCTTTAATGTCAATTTTTTTGATAATTTTTATTGCCACTAATTTTTTCTTACAATTAATAATTTTTATTATTAAATAAACAATTTTCTGAATATTTCTTTTTGTAATTAATTAAAAATTTTGTTTCGTCATTCAGATATGACTATAATCTTGATTTGTTATTTTGGTGATTTTGAATTAAATGAAAATGATTGATGAGTATAAAGATGAACGAGTGATATACGTGACGGTATTTTATTACGTGTTGACACACATGATCGACCCACCCAGTGCGAACCACGTGGCATGATTGCCGAAGCCCCTAGGAATGGTGAACACTCAACATCCAAAAGCAAAAACTGTGACGTAGCCCAAATGCTGGAAGGCTGAAGTGCAATGGTCGAGATGGTCCATACCGAAGCCCAAGATGCGGAAGCCGAACTCCAGAACATCTTTGACATCACTCCACCCCAGAGATCC